TTAAAATTTCAACACATGCTATATTCAGACAGTGAATGATTTTGCAAATTAAAACCTGAAAAGTACCCATGGAGACCCCATGGGATTATAACTTGCACAGAAGAGATTTAGTAACTTTAAATTGTTTCAACACTGTTAGAATTCTTTGTTTTGAGATACAGAATAGCAAGAGAGACTGCATGGGTAGGTAGGTAATAAGAGGCTGAGGCAGGAGAGGCAGGAGTTAAAAGCACTCCGTACCCCATTTAATACAGTGTGTTATAGCCAGTGCCACAAATTTGATTTGAACAATTTCTATTTTTCCCAGCAAAGATGTTATTACAGGTCAATCATTTCCATAAGTGAGAGCACATTTCTGGTGTATACTACACTGACAGATGGCTAGAAGACCTCTTTTTCATGATCCCAGGCTGGATAAAAAGGCAATTTACTATCTATAGGACTGTGGGTACACTGGTAATGGAAGAGAATCATTCTTATACAAATAACTCAGTGTTTGAATCTGAACTATCAAATGAATCTGAGCTATAGCCAAATCAATTTGATAAACCATCAGAATATGATTGTACTGGCTCCAGCCTGCAAAGGCAATGCATTAAATTTTCTCCACAGGAAACTGTTTCCCAAAGAAACAGCAATTGGTCGATTGCTTAAAAAACAACAACAAACAACAACCTTGAGTGAGTTCAGACTATCAGGTAAAACTCAGATGGCTGCTGATGTTCAAGGTCAAGACTCATGGGGGGAAATGGGGATGCTGAGCTCCTCTGAAACTCGAGGAAGCTTGTTTGTGTGCCCCTGGATTTCTCTGCATCTATCTCTCTCTGCAATGGAGCAGTGCAGCCTTGCACCCTCAGGTGTTCAGAGGCTCCCTATTCTTCACTCAACTAGAAATTTTGCCTTCAGGAAAGGTGCTATCATCAGTTTGAATGTTTGGCCCTTAATTTTCTTAGAATTCCTTGCATATATCCACTGGGGAAAAAGGACTGAGCCAGTGAGGGAGGAAGATTCACCACAGTTGGCTTGTGGAGGAGATATTTTGGAGACTAAGCAAGACTTCCCAATTCCCAACATGGGTCCTAGGGCAGTGATTCTCAGAATGCTCTCTGGACCAGCAGCATCAGTTTCGCCAGGAAGATATTAGACATACAAGTTCTTAGGCCTCAACCCTGACCTGCTGAATCAAAAATTCTAAACGTAGGGGCTGAGTGTCATGACTCATGCCAGTAATCCCAGTGCTTTGGGAGGCTGGGACAGGAGAATCCCTTGAGGCCAGGAGTTTAAGACCAGCCTTGGCAACATAGTGAGACCCTGTCTCTACGACAACAACAAAAATGGCCAGGTATGGTGGTGCACGCTTGTAGTCCCAGCTACTCAGAAAGCTGACACAGGAGGATTGCTAGAGCTCAGGAGTTCAAGGCTGCTGTCAGTTATGATTGCACTGCTGCACTCCAGCCTTGGTGATCAAAACAAAAACAAAAACAAAAACAAAACAAAACAAAAAAAGACCCACCTAAAACCCACACAACTCTGAAGATGCTGCTGTGGGGCAGCTGAGAACCACTTACAGCTGAGGTGGCTCATAGCTGAGTCTATTGTGGGAATTGCCCTCAGCTGACTTACTCCTCCACAGGCATTTGGCTCCTCCCCAGGGACAGTGATTCTTGATACGGAGGACTTGTCCCTTGCCTTAATTCAGTACAACTTTGAAGGACCATCTTAACTCCAGATCTCCACATGAGATCAGTTGAGCCTTTGGTTGCAAATGCGTTACCCTGATTCTGCTTCCATCAAGCACTCCCTGTACATTCTGAGAGCACCCTCCAGTAAACCTTCTGCATGCAGCTAGATCATAGTCTTTTTGTGTTTATGTGGGAGGGGGAACAGCAATCTGACCCAAGGCCCAGTCACGATCAGCATGATCTCCACCTACTGTAGTCGGAATGGCCTTTGCGTACCTCCTGCTCTCATCTCTTAACTCATCACCCGGGGTGGGCTGGTCTACTGCACACCTGCACAAGCACCCCTCAGGCCAGGGTTTAGATGGTTTAGTGTATCTAGTTGCAGAAGTGGGACGTGGAATAGGCCAGTTGTCTTCTTGCATCTCAAGTCAGCAGAAGGAGAGGCTTGAAGAACATCTGTGGACTAACCTGAAGGCCCCCGAGAAAGGGTGGCTTGATGTTAAGGTGAAAGATGATCAGTTCTTTTGGCCCCAGGGGGAGGAGAGGAAATTAGTAATTGTAGGTGGGGCTTCCAGCCAGGATCCTGCACTGAGATGAAAATATGTGGGAATGTATTATCCCTCTCTACCTTTTTAAGTCATTGGGAGTGCTTCATAATTCCATGAATTTTCTGTAAATTTTATTCACTTAATTCTAGACAGATGTGTGCCTGTGGTAAGAAGGATAAAACAATGGGCCTATAACTTGAGGACCCTGCAGAATTGTTTCTGATGCTTTCACAGAGGCTCCCTTGCCTGCATTCACAGTGGGACTGGATGGGGGATTCAAGTTTTGTGTTCTCTGTTAAAAATGCTTAGGAGATACATTGTGCAGTGTCTTAACCTGGAACCTGCTTATGCAGCCTCAGGAGATGTTATTCTGTGCCATGTTTATGTATCGTTGACTGGCGTTCTTAGACTGGGAGGCTGGTGTTAATAGTTATTTTCCACTATTTTAGCTCACAACCAGTTGCAGGGGGCCTCAATGAATAACTTTTAGATGTTCAATTAAACCTACTTATGGCAACATGGTATGATGGGAACACATGGAATGTGAGGTAGAAGACCTAGTTTCTGGTCCAGGCTCTGCCCCTTGTAGCAGCAGTATGATTTTTAACAGGTCACTTCCGTCCTCTGGTTCTGATTCCTTCAGCTGGGTAATAAATGAGTTGGGGGATCTCATCCAAGTTCATTGTTCTCAGGAGCAGACAGTAGGTTAAGATGCTATAGATTCAATATTGTACCTGGTACAGGTCACACATGGAAACACACCCATCACTGATATATTCTGCCATGAACAGATAGAGGTGCCTACTTAGGAACATTCAAAACTCTTAGGGCTTTTTGCTAAGAGAAACTGACATGCTGTTATTGTAGGGGGTCAAAGACATCAAAAGTACTTTGTCAGAATTCACTTGTATCCCAAGCACTATAAGAACAGGGAACATGAACTAAGTAGTACAGGTTCTGAGTACTTCGTATACTTGAGCACATGGCCTACATGCCCAACACTCTCCATTTGTTAGCCTGGGTCCTGCCTTGTACTTCTTAGGCATATCTTGACTTGATATTTTAAGTTGTATATTTAATGTATTGCCTGACTCCGCTCTGTCCCCACCACCAGTGAGAATATAAGCTTTCGATGAGGAAGAACTTTACTTTGTTCCCTGCACTTTGTGTAACACATGGCACAGAACTGATGCTTAAAAATTTATTTGATGAGTGAAAAAATATTGTGTGTGTGTGTGTGTGTGTGTGTGTGTGTGTGTTTTATGCTTCAAATAATATTATTAGGAAATAGATAGTGTTTTTTAAGCCATTTTTAGGCAAGGAAACAGAGGTTTAGAGAGGTAGAAGAACTGGTCTAAACCAAGGCAATCTGCTCTGTATCTCTGCTTTAATCACACTATTGCTCCATTTGCACAGGTGGCCTATCTCAAGCCAGGCATTCTTGAATAATCTTTGAACATGGCCAGGATGACAAATCTACCCTAAAGTGTCTATTTCTTTTGTCAAAGCAGCAGAATCTCATGTATGGATCACAACACACCCTTTATCATGAATAAAAAATACTTATGGAATTCTCACTCTCCATACCAGGTCTAATTCTGGAGGTACACAGGTTCCAGCCTGAAGGAGAAGATTAGCTATTTGGTGAAAATAAGAGTGATGCAGATAGATGGTTGGGTGGTAGGTGGGTAGGTGACCACACACGGTAGCCTATGCTAACTGCCAAATACGAGGTTCAGTGGGTGGCTTCCAAATGCCTGACTTGACTTTAGGCAGGCTATGTAAGGATCATCTAGTAAAACTGTAGATCTGTTAGCATGCTTATCTGTTTCTTTGCTCACCATTCCTTCCTGTACCTCATTCCCTCCTTTTGGGTTCCTTTGTTTGTCTTGAAGTACTTTTCTTCAGTAAGTGTAGTAGGCCTTGCTTAGAGCCCAGGAACACAGATTTAAAAAGCCTTTTGGTACTTGTGATGCAGATTGTCCCCCCACCAAAGAAGCCATAAAGGCCACGAGAGTCACAGGAAGAAGTCACCGATGGCTGAGGTTGTCAGAGAGACTTGAGGAGGTATAACTTCAGAATGATCCTTGATGGAAGGGGCAGTGTAGGTAAGAATAGAAGAGGGAAAAGTCACTTTTGGAGGGAAATATGGAAGTAAGGAAATGACAAGAGGAGACGTCCTCATGAGGGCTATGAGACATGGAATGTATCCCAAAAGATTTGAAAAGAGGATCCAAAAATAATGAGTATGTAGGTCTCCTTGGGTTGAAGGAACCTCCTGGGTGTTGAAGATGATAGAGATTTGTGCTTTGCTTTCCAGTGAAGAGACATGTAGTCAAGTGGTTGTGAGTCTGTACCACGAGTCAGATCAATTTAAATCCCTGCTGTAACTCTTGCATAACCTTGAGTGAGTGAATTAACCTCTCCAGGGAAGCCAGTTTTTCCTTCTGTAAAATGGGAATAATAGCTCCTACCTCAAATGGTGATTATAAGAATTAAATGAGAAAATGCATCTTAACTTCTTAGAACACCATCTGACACTCTGTATGTGCTCATTACATGTTATTATTAGTGTTGCTTTTTTTTTTTAATGGAGAGTTAAACTGTGGATAAGCCTTAAATTGTCTCTATAAATCTTTGCAGATGACATGAATAAAAATCGAACTTCATGGCCAGCCCTGCCTTGGAAGTTCTCCCTTAGCTGCAGAGAGTTGACTTCTAACTTAAACAAACTGAACTTTTACACACAGAAATGGGGAAAGCTACTCACAGAACGACTGGTCCAGAGGCTCCGTGGAAAACATCATTAGGCAATTCTTTTAAATTTTTGTTATTGCTTAGATTCCTGGGGATGGGTTGAAGAAAGAGGGAGGAAAACATAAAGCCACATAAATACTGCTGTTGAAAGAGCCATTTCCCTTTAAATGGGCTGGAAGAATAGTCGGGGCTACTTACAGCTCATCTAGTTGGGTTCCATTGAATGCACAGTTGTGTATTTCTTGAATCCCATTCTTATTCAGCCATCTGAAATAAAAGGCCTATTAAAAAACCAATAATGTCAGATGCAAACAATACAAGGGTTTCATAATTGGAAGCACTGAGCAAAGGCAGACAGCACAGGTTAGTGGAATAAAGAAAATGCCACCTTTAAAGCTTGGGGACATGGGTGGGAAGAAGACTGATTTATTGCTGCATAATCTTTTGTAACTTTTGAAGTTTGCGTTATGTGCATGTATTGCCTATTCAAAGGAATAAATGAAATTCAAGTTTGAAAAGGCACACTTAGGCAGAGCAGCCTGGATTCTTTCACTGTAAGGTCTTTACACATGTCATCTGTGTGTAGAGATGCAATGCGGGGAGCGGACAGATCTTTCTCATCCTGAAGGACAGGAATTGTACAATTATTGAACAAGTGTTTATAAGACAGAAAAAGAACATTTTATGTCACCTTTCTCTAAGGGCTTAAGCCTTTCACCCATGATCACCCACAGCAGCAGGCCTGGCTGTCATCAAAAGTGATCTAATTAAGTTGTCAGACAACCTGAACATCTCCCGTGACCCGTAGGGACCTGGTTATTGGAGGTTTGTGGAGGTGGCTCTGGGTTAAGCCAGAAAGGAAGAGAAATCAATTACAGAGAATGTGGGCTGTGGCAGGGCGAGGTGATGTGAATGGGCGGGGGAGGAGATTCTCGGGGAGGTGGAGATGGGTATAGAACAGCTATCCCGATTGCGCTAAGAAGGTCAGTGAGCAGGGTTCCCTGGACAGGGGAGCCCAAGGACACCTTGGGCTACAGCTCTGCCTTGCTCTGCTCCTGAGTGGATCTGAAGACAAAACAGATACCAAGGTCAGGAGGGCTTAGCCCGAAGAGCCTCTGACCACCTGCTCTTGTTTTGCTGTCAGGTTCTTTTCCCTTTTCCCAGCTTAGTGGGTTTGCAAATAACACTGTTCAGAAAGCTGACCCAGAGAAGCTCTTGTGTGTCCATGATTCTTTCTTGGTCCACCATGGGTAGCCAGAAAACACATAAAATCACAGGAGAACAATTGTATGTCTTTTTCCTCCTCTTGAAAACTAATTAGCTAAAAAATCCAGAGAGGAGCAAGGTAAATCTTTTAAGACATTCATAACCAACTGGTGGGTTCTGATGGCAAAGAAGTGGCTATGCAACCCCATGCCGTTTGAAAAAGCGTTTCCCAGGCACACCTGAACTCTTGACAGTTGCAGAGTAGTAAGGGTTGCTGGGGCAGCTGCCCCCAACCTGTGGGATGTAGATCCCTGGGGGATTTGGATCAAATGCAGGATTCAGCAAACTTTTTCTGCAAAGGGCCTGATAGTAAAGTTTAGGTTTTATGGGCCAAAAGACAAAAATAAAAAATATTATGTAAGTACCTTAGGTACTTATAAAACAATTTCCACAATTTTTTTATTGACCAAATTTAAAGTATAATAATTGAATACTTCTTTTGTAATGTAGGTCTAATATTATAAATAATTTTTTCTGGGGGATAACATTTTGCTTAATTTAGATCCAATGTTAATGTTTCCTGTCTTAGCTCATGAGCTGGGTTTCACCTCTGGGTTATATGTAGTTGGCTGGCCTTTAATTTAACATGAGGGGTGTACAAATCCATATAGCCTCCACCTATTTTCCTAGAGTCTAGATAATTGATATTTCCTGCATATAACCGTCCTGTCAATCGATGTTGCTACAATCAAATAAAACATAAACTAATTTTAAATAATTATTATATTCAAATATCCCTTTGTCTTTATGGATTATCTCAATCAACAGATACCTTCATGTGGGGAGGAGGATGGTATTTCTTGATATCATCACACAAAAACCAAATTATGTTCAGAACTGCTGTCCTTGGGTTTATGTTAGTCTGTGGGAATCTCAAACTAGTACCATAGGGAAACCCACATTTGTCACGCACAACCCTGGTCTCTTAAGAGAGGAACTACCTATTTTAAAACGAGATGATGATGATGAGACGACGTCGAGGATGACTACAATAACTTGGGCAGAACATCCACTAAGGAGTAACTGCATCACAGCCCTACCTTAACCCTTTTGTGTCTTTGGGGACGAGACCAGTGTGCTCACTCAGCAGAGGCTCAGGAGGCTACAGAAGCACACTCTGCTCTCCTCCTAAAGAGTGGAGGTGCTGGAGACTGGGCCTTTAAAACTCATTGAGGGGCAGGCAGGGGAGATGAACTGACTGAGGAACAGAGGAAACACGCTTGAAGCAGGCCTCTCCTCAGGCCAGAGTATGCTAGGAGCTGTTACTCATGTATTGTTTTATTTCTTCTGTTAGGATATTCTCCTGGCTGGCCATAGCTAGGTGCTTTCCCTATTCAGGCTCTCTGCTTACCAGGGCAGAGTGGCAGTGGGGAAGGGATCAGAAGCTTCTGCACAATGGGTTTTTGTTGTTCATTTCTTAGATTCACTAGGCAAGTGTCTGATAATCCTTCATTGCTGGCTACTTAAAAAATATATTTACTTTTAGAACGGGGCCTCAAAATTTGTTTTAACTTTTAGTTTCAGGGGAGCATGTACAGGTTTTTTATATAGGTAGTCTGCATGTCATGGGGGGTTGCTGTACAGATAATTTCATCACCTGGGTAATAAGCATAGTACCCAATAGGTATTTTTTCTGGTCCCCTCCCTCCTCCCTCATGTAGGCCCCAGTGTCTGTTGTTCCCTTCCTAAAATCCATGTGTTCTCATTGTTTATCTCCCATTTATGAGAGAACATGTGGTATTTGGTTTTCTGTTCCTGTGTTAGTTTGCTTAGAATACTGGCCTCCAGCTCTATCCATGTTGCTGCAAAGGGTGTGATCTTTTTCTTTTTTTATAGCTGTGTAGTATTCCCAGAATTTTGAAAACTGCTATCGATAGAATACGTTGTCAGTCATCAGTGCCACTGCCATGCTTTTTTTCCTGAGTGTGCTCAAATGTCCCCAGGGGAAGAAAGCAACCCTGCATCAAAGCTGCCAGACTAGAAATGATTGGAGACTTAAACTGTGCTGAGTATGAATGATCTGATTTTATTGTCTATAGATTAAGGGACAGCCACAATAAGAACAATATATATTGTTTCCACAAATGGGAATTTATCCTTTAGAGACACGTCTGAGAAACATTCACTCTTAAAAGAAAACTCCTTTCCTGAAAAGTGTGTTCCTAAATTCTGAGAAATCAGTGTCCATGAACAGGAGTTAGTAAAGAGCAGACAGAATCTGTATGTTCCTTTTGTAGCTTTGGGTTTGCAAAGGTATGTCAGAATTTCTTATTTCCTCAGGTTCTTTGGCTCTAGTTGGGAGAGTTGAGACCAGGGCATTTAGAGTGCTTTGCCTACTGTCTTATGGTCTGGACAAAAAAAAAAAAACAGGTCAATGATACTGTGAGAATGATATGAGCACGCTATGCAAAACTATGAGAATGATATGAGCACACTCCCACTGAATTATATATTTTCTATAAAAATGAATGAGTTTGCCATATTATAACATTCATTTTAAGTCTCTGTATTTAAAATAAACATATATTTCAGGCAAGATCCAAATAAACATAAACATCCTGGTATAACTGCGAATATTTATCACTAATCTCCCTCTGTGATGCAGCCCAGAAATCCTTTTACTGTTGTGTTTTGCAACAGGCCAATAAGACTTATGTACTCATAAGCTGTTTTCCACAGCTCTTTGTGTTATTAGTTTTATTTTTATAAAAGGCAGGTGGCCTTCACAGCCTTGATTATTCTGTTCCCTCTGCATGCTCTTTGCCAACTCCCTAGCTAACTTCCCATCATCTTTAAAACCCATTTTAAAAACTACTTTTTCTCAGCTTGCTTTCCTTTATTTAACTCTTCCTTTAACTCTGGCATCACAGGCTAGTCAGATTAAATTATTCATTCTTTACTCTTAGAATAATTGCTTTTTCTTTTACTTTGTATATCATTCATTCTGCTTGCATTTTAGTTTATTCCTTTTGCTTTCTCTTTCTCGTCTTTTCTGCACGCCATCACCTCATCTCAACACACACACACACACACACACACACACACACACACACACGCACACCACTTCAAATATCATGAGCTTAAGTGAAATGATTCAGTATTACTCACCTGTAGCTTTTGTCCTAATACCTATATCTTTTGAATGCATGCCTTTGATTTAATTTTATTGTTCGTTTCATACCTTTTATTTCTAAGCTAATCTGTTTTCAAATTTTTTCTATTGTTCTCTACATCAAATACAGTGCTTAGCTTTACTGATCAAAGTGTCATAATCTGTCTATGATTTCTTTTTCTTTTAACTGCTGGGTCTCTGAATCATATAATTGAAGAGGACTACAATTCTTTACGGACTGGAACTTACCTTTTGTACATATAGGCATATTTTAAAAACTCATATTGGTATATTTTTTAAAAAACACAACAATTTGTAAAATAGATAAAATGCTTTTCATATCTTACAGATGTAATTGCAATTACTGGGTCCCCCAAATGTCATTCTGTGCATCTAAGTTTCATGGATCCCAGGCATACTTAGGTGGCCCATACTGTCCTATTTCTTGGCCATCCTGGAAGGGTGGATAAACTGCTACAGGGCCTACTGGCATAAAAGATTAGAATATCTTTCATTAACAAGACAGAGTGCATTTAAAAACTTTCCAAAAAGTCAGAGTAACTCAAGCTCATTAAAAAATTTAATTGTTTTAAGAAAATGAGAAGTCATCTTATGCTTAGCATGGGCCTGAACAGGAGCTGCTTGGAATGGTTATGAGGGAATCACCATATCTTCCTGATTGGGTTTCCTTCCTGATCTTTTTCTTTGGGCAACAAAAGCCTTGCCAGGCAATAACTAGCTTTGTTGATGCATGAGTTATTCTGTCCTTTGGAACAGATGTTGTAACACAGGAGACCATCATTCAAACAGCAATTTTAAATAGTTGAATCATACCACAGAATCATAAATTATTGACATGAGTTCACATTGTGATTCTGAAATGTAAAGACAAGAGAAAAAAAAGAACCAGAGAGTGTTTTAAGTGGAGAAATGCCAAAGTTACCTGAATAAAAAAGGAACGTCCAATTATAAGAGATCACTAAATGAAAGAGCAAATGTTACTGTTGGATTTTTCCCCCTTACTTACAGAGTCACACTTTGAAAACTCAGCCCCGCGAAAGAATTTCTTTCAACTGTGTGAATGTTTATGTTATCTTGAATGTCTCTAGAAGAAAGTACAGACAAACAGATATTTACATCAGCCCTACTCATGTAATCTTCCCACATTTAGTTTAACTGGCATAATGTGGTCTTTAGCACAGGTAATGTATTAATGTAGTTAGTTGTTGTTTAGCTCAAAGTTTGGGGAAAAATAGTCTCTAATTTATATTTAGTATATTAGTTCTTACAAATGGAATTGTAGATATTCAGTGTCTTCCCCCCCGCCTTTGTTTTGAGACATGGTCTCCTGCTCTGTCACTTAGGCTGGAGTGCTGTGGTACCATCACAACTCACTGTAGCCTCGACCTCCCAGGCTCAAGTGATGCTCCCACCTCAGTCTCTGGAATAGCTGGGACTACAGGCGTGCACCACCATGACCAGCTAAGTTTTGTATTTTTTGTAAAGTCAAGGTTTCACCCTGTTGTTCAGGCTGGTCTCAAACACTTGTGCTTAAACGATCCGCCTGCCTCGGCTTCTCAAAGTGTTGGATTACAGCTGTTGGCCGCTGTGTGTGGCCCACTTTTTTCTTCTGAAGGTTTTCTTAACTAATTTTACCCTAATGTAACAAACCTTTCACCTCCTAACTTCTGTGTTCATCTTAGTTGGGCCTTCTCTCCATCTCAATCCCCTTCTTACAGCTAGTTTCCTTCCCTCTGTTCTCCTTGGGTCTCAGAACAATTTTATCATTGATTTTTCTTTTCCTGAATGAAAGGATGGGAAGAGCCTCATTTTCTGTTTGTAGTACTCATCCCCCATCAACCTTCCCTCTTAGGTCTGATCTAACATGTAGAAGTAAATGTAGAAGTAAGGGCTATAGAGGTAATGTAGTAAACAGCTTGGAAAAATATGAGAAATTCTGAAAGATATTCAATGTTTTTCTCTGTCTCTTTTTCCACCCTGCTTAGCTCCTTCCTCCCTCCTTAGCTCCTACACCCCTTCCCCATCTCTTCCTTTTGGGTCTGTCCATATTCTTACAATTTCACTATCGGAAATAATTGCCATTACATGCTACCTTTTCTCTTCCTTTTTTCAAAATACAAATACCTTGGGAAAAGGCAAACACAGCCTGTCATTAACTCTTTAGTATGAATGTGTGTGTTAGATAGTTTCTTTATGGCCAGGGTAGCATAGAAATTCTGGAAAGAAGAGGAAAGGATGTTGGAATACAAAGGTTGTTGTATATGTGTGTGGGGGGCAGTAATTAAAGCACTAAATAGTGAAAAAATGAGCAACTTTTTGATATTGCTATATGCTGGTTTTGTGAACAATGCTCTTATTGAGGGGTCTGTCAATTTCCTCCAAACTGATATTGACTGGCCTGCAGTTAAATCAGGGGCCTCACTCTGGCCTCCTTATTTTTGCTAACCCAGGGCAATGCATTTGGAGGATGTAGCCTACACAATGCATTTTAAAGGTCCACATGGCTGTTGGCCAAGACGGATACTGAGTAAAGAGTTGGTAGTCACTCAAGGAAAAACTTACAGTATAACCTTGTGGAGAGAATGAATCTTGTGAACATCTGGAAGGTGCTTAATACCTGTGTTGGATATTAACCTAGAGAGAAACAAAATGAGAATAAGTGAAAATGTAGCTAGCTGTTTAAATAGTTGTTAGAGCATGAACTTTCCAGGATGAAAATATCAATTTTGAACCATCAGAAAAACCTACAAGAAAAGCCCATATATACCTGAATTATGCTCATGTTTTCTATTTTAAGGTTCATTCCAGGGTCTTAAAAGCTGGTGATTCCTTAGAAAAAAGAAACTTATACTTCAGTCACAAAGGGATTAGGATGCCACAGTATACATTAAAAAAAAAAAAAATGAAGATTGATAAGTTAATCTGACCCTAAAGCAACTTCCAACTAGTAACAAAATTTTCTTAAATTATTCTCTGTTTCCAACCTCATCATACTTGTTGGAAAACTGTGTCTTCTTCGCTCCAAGTGATTCTCTCGGGATTCCAGCATGAGATTTCATGCCCTATGACCCTAGGGTATGCATGTGACCTGAGCTGGGCCAATCAGACTCTCTCCTGGGACGTGGTTGGAGGTTGGTTAGAGCTTCTGCTGTCATCACCCTTAAGAGATGATTATAAATTTCTACAGCTGAAAATTGCAGACCTACCCTGGATCCTTCCCAAGGTCTGATTATATTGGCCTGACTTTCCCAGGAAGGAGAGCCTGAGAAGGCGGCTAGCAGTGAGTATACATTTCACAGGAAGATTTCAGAGCAATCCGGACAGAGAGTGAAACAGGGAAGGAGGGAAGCTAAGCAATACCAGCACTACTGATGACTAGTTCCTAATTCCAAGGACTTGATTTAGGATATTTAAAAAATGGATCTCAGAACTGTTGATCAGAGTGGGGGATAGTAGTGAGGGAAGGATGTGTCCATTGACTCCTATTTCCTATTGGTAAAAGCTGATTCCATGGTGTTAATTCCCCACTTATGGCTTGCACATTTCTGAATACCCTGCGAATTCCCTGATGGGCATCTCTCACAGTGGTGCCCAAGAAGCCCCAGAGCAGGAAGGAAGAGGTGTACAAGACTAGGCTGGGTGTTCCTCAGTTGCACTTGAATGAAGCTGGATGAAATTTGGGTGGAACTGGCTGCCATAATAATGGTGAGGTTTTTAGGGGCCCATAGAAATTATTGGACACATTGTACTTTGTCATTTTCCTCACTCCTGTGAGTTACTTAAAATCCTACTATCTCTCTACTCCCATTTCCCTTTTCTATATGTGGCTTACCTAAGTTGGAGGTGGTGATAGTTAACATGCAATCTAAAGAACCCTCATTGATATATTCATCATGTGAAGGACCATATGTCCTTTTGAGGTTTTGACTCAAGAAGATTTGGTGCCTTGTACTCTGCTTCTGTGTTTAGAGAGGAAGTGACTCCAGTCTATGGGTTCTAGGTTATGATTCTCAGAGTTTTTTCCACCGTCTTGGTTCCCTGATATCCACATCAAAGGTCTCTTGGGCAATTCTTTTAATTACTTCAACAGTCCTTAAGTTGATCTCCTTTTGCTTTTTATTCAGGAAAAGAGGTTCTTTTTGAAGAATTTATTGTGTTGTTAATTCACTTAAAAATTATATACAGAAAAATAAACTCTTTTGAGGGTAGAGGTCTATGAGGTAAGAGAAATACATAGGTAACCATGAGCACAGTACAGATATAGAACTGCCATCGCTCTCTAAATTCGCTTGTGTTTTCCCTTTGTACTTCATCTCTTCATCTACTTCATATCCCTAGCAAGCACTGGTCAGTTATCTGTTTCTCTAATTTTGCCCTTTCCAAAATATTATGTCAATGGAACCCTCTATGATCTTCCCCACTAGAGCTCAGAGATGCTCTTCACACCACACAGCCACTGCGAGGGGATGCTGCAGTCGTGGTCAGTGATTCAGGACTGTTTTTTCTATCTCTTCTGTGCCTCTTTCAGCAGTATCAAGTTAAAACCAGGTACTGTGACTGCACAGCTAATTTTTGGTTCTCATGAAGGGTGTTTTTTTCTGTGTAGATAGTTGTTAATTTGGGGTCTTTGCACGGGGGACAATTGGTGGAGCTTTCTATTCTGCCATCTTGTTCTGTCTCTATCAGTGGAATAATCTAGAATGTAACTTTTGGGTCTGGCTTCTTTCACTTAGCCTAACTCCCTATTTCTCTTGATTCATTCACAGCAAAGCTTCTGGAAGGAGTTGTCTGCACATGCTATCTTCATTTTCTCATATCCTGTTGATCTTCAACCTGTTCCAATCTGTTTTCATCCCATAACTCTTAACTGAAACTGTGATTGTCATGGCAAAATCTACAAACTCACTAACTACCAAACTCACTAACTACTACAAACACTTAAAACTGTAAATGGTCACTTTCTTAGACTTTTCTGGATTATTTAATATTTTTTTTTCCGAACTCTCTTCTGTTGGTTTCTGTCATTTTGTACTCTTTTGTTACTGCTCCTTCTCCTCTGTGACTCCTTGTTGGCATTCTTTGTTGATTCCTTTTCCTCTATTTGTACTCTGGGTCTTTTGCGTCTCTTCTCTATACTCTCACTACATAGATCTTGTTTCCTGTGATTTTAAGTAGTATCAATATTGTTAACTCCTAGATTCATACTTGCTCTCTGGCCTCGCTAGTCTATTGCTAGTTAAAGCTTATTTTGTGTATCCTCCTGAATGTCTCACTGACTTAGCCAACTAAACTTGTTCCCCATTATCATCTCCACCAAACTGCTTCTCCTCCATTATTCTCCATAGGTAGAATTGCCATCCATCAATTGTAATTTGACAGTTAAAGTTGGCTTGGCTTCTTCTTTCTTAAGTTCCAATATCTAGTCCATCTCAAAGTCCTCTTAGATTCCATTTCCGAAATATGTCTTGACTCTGTGCAGTTTTGCCCATCTCCACTGAAACTATTCTAAAAAAAACCCCTGGGAATTTCTGTAATATTATTCTCCTTTCTTTCCCAATTCATTCTCCATACAGCACTCTGGGAATTCTTTTCAAAAATGTAAATCAGATTGCTTTACTCCTTTGCTGTTAAGGCTTTAGTTCATTCCCATGACACTTAGAGTAAAGTTGACACTCCTTACTGCCTCCTCTTGTACCTTTATCTTGTGCTATTTCTCCAGTGCACTTTATCCCCAGTGGCTTTCTCTCAGTTCCTCAGATTTTTTAATTTCTTTCCTTTCTCCAAATATTTGCATGTACTTTCTCTAGAAGGCTAACCATCTACTCTTCACCTGGCCAACTTCACCTCACCCTTCAGAGTTTAGTTACACATGTCACTTTTTCAGAAAGGAGCTCCCTATGTGCCAATCTAAATTAGGGCCCCTGATTTATTCTCAGTATAACTGCGTCCTTTTTAGCACTCCTCAAAACTCTGAGCCATATACTATTTTGTGATATTTATCCAACATCTGCCTCTTCAACCAGATTGTGACTCATATGAGGGCAGGATTCATGTTTTTCCTGAAAACTCAGTGTTGGCACAGTAGTTGATATATATAATCGGCTCAGTGTTTACCAAGCTCTTTATACCAGGTAATATGCTATGTGCTGTCAACAGAGGAGTTCACAAGGAATTATTCACTGCCTATGTTTATTACACCTTACTCATTTGACGTTATATGGGTAGCAGTTTCCCCGTCTCTCTTAGTGAATGAATAAGTTTTATATAATTGAAGGAATGAAGAATTCATGATTGCTCAATAAGAAAGTTACAAATGCAGCATTTAACATCAACAGCATGAGCTTCCATAGCCCCTGTACTTATGGAATATCTATAGATATCTGTAGATGTACATTGAGATTTTTGGTCTTTATAGAAAGAAAACAGACTGCAAAAAATGGCCAAATTTATTGCAAAAAATGGCTAAAATTATTCCAGTAGTGCTGAGTTTAAGGTACTTAAAAAGATCTAGTGACCATCTAGTGAGATGGATTATTGGTGATAATTCTGTAGCTGAGACTCTTTAAAACCCCAAGATAATACAGGAAATGGAGTTCGGATGAACACTTAGTTTTCAATTCATTTTTCCCCTCTGATCAATAAATTCATGTCTGATGGAGGCTGGAAGTGGGTAATCAGCTAGGAACTGTATGTCTCAATGGGTTTGCTTTTGTCAAATGACTGTTTGCTGCAAAATTATTTTGATTCACTCAACCATGGTTTATCTTCAAAAAACAGTTAAAGGCCTGAGGGTAAAATGTCAGTGAATTTAAGTTCTGCAAATGGGTCTTTTAGAGAAAGGTAACTGACTCGGAGTTTTCCCTCTCTGCAGCCAGTTTTACATTCTAAGCTGGTGTTAGCATCTTTAATGCCTGACTGTCCTTAATCTTTAGGTTATCATAATGAAAGTGAGCTTCCCTCCCATCAGGATGAACTTAGTGGGGTCCTGTAATTGCTGGGAACCATTCTCTCCTATTCTGCACAGGATAATATGCTTACCTTTCATAAACAGGTGACCCTGTGACACTGAGGCTCCTTGTCCTAAACATCGTCAGTGCTTTTATTAATCTTCAGTAGTGTTTATGGGTTCTTATTTTTTCTTAAGTTAACAGGGTCTGTGTTTGCTTGTGTTGCACTGGACTATGTGCCATCCTTCCAATAAAGCCTCTATTTTATACAAGGAGGAAGCCAGAGACCGTGTGCTGGTTTTAGGGAGTTTGTGAGTGGATTAAGACAAGCACAGATGAAACACTTAGAATGGTCTAGTGGCAAACTGTATGCTACTGATTGTGAATGCCTTATGAGTTCAGAGAAGGGGCTGGAGGAACAATATGGGCTGGGGGGAAAAAGTGAGATATCTTAGAAAGTATAGAGCCTTCAGGCCTAAACTAAGAGTAGCAAGTGTGCATATTTGGACCACACGAGGTGGACAAAAGGATGCGAAGCAGAGGAAAATAAAACTAAAAGCAGGGAGGAGGCAGAATTTCAGAAACTTTAAAGCTAGGTAAAGAAGTGTGGTAAAGAAAGCATGGGCTTGATGGGGAAGCATTAGAAGCCACTTTTTGGGGCTGCAAGGGGGAGCAAGAAGACTTGAG